TGAACAAATCGATTGGTAACCAATACATTGTTAAACACCCGTAGCAAAATGAGTTAGCTTTGTGGATTTTTGTAACAATCAATTTCTTTCAACTAATTAGGCAACGACAACAACTCGTAGGGTGAAGAAATGACATGAATAACCGATTGACAACATTTACTCTGTAACAGCGGCATTACGATAGTTTCAGTTTCAGTTTGTCCAACCATTAACCAGGCACTTTCGTGTGCCCGTTTTCGTTGTCTTTTAGCTGCTCATTTGGATAAACATTGGGAGAAGTACCGGAAAGTTGAAAGTAGGACCAAATAGAAAATTGAGTTTCAGTGAACTAACATTGCAAGAAAATTGAGAAGATGCGCGAACGCCACTGTTTACGACAGCCTGCCATATCGCTCAGTGTCTCAAACCATCGGGTACGATCATACTGAGGTTCCAGCCAGGGAGCCTAACGAAACATATGTGACTCAGACTCCTGGTTAGAGTTTACATACCCTCGTGAGAGGTCTTAACTTGACCATTTTCAGCTTTATTCCACCCACGACCTGCCTCGGCAAACATCGCGCGCTGCGGCGACCTATGTATTTGGTGGCATACGTAACACATGCCCCGACCAACGTAACCTATGAAGGTCGATCACTTGCTCCAGTGGGCGACTACAGTTACCAAAAACTCTGCGCCTAACTTCAGCATTGCTCGTCCGGCTGCCCCACCAGTTTTGTGTAATGCTACGTAGACAGGGGTGTTCAAACACCGACAATCCGTCTTTATCCTGTTTTCTTAATGGCCATGTTTCCGCGCTATATAGCAGAACTGGCCGAACCGCCGCGGCATACACTCGACCCTTCACAGACAACCAGATGTCGCGACGGCACCACAGATTTCTCAAGTTGGCAACTGCCGCTCGAGCTTTCTGTAAGCTAGCTTACACTTCATCTGTGATGCGTCCACCGGGTGAGATGTAGCTGCCCAAGTAACAAAACTTATCCGTCTGGCCTATTACTTCCCCAGTCAGAGTGAGGATAGATGCTGATCAAAACCAGTCTTGAAGTAACATTTTACACTTTGAAGGTGCAAAACACATACCGAATATGGCTACACTGGCATTCTAGTTATCCAGAAGTGCTTGCAACTTACCTGGATTTTCACTTAGTAGCACAATGTCGTCTGCGTACTCTAGATCAGACAGTCTGCCACCTGGGAGTAAATCGATACCGCTATCCTGACACGAGGACAGGGCTGTTTCCATAATTAAATCTATAACAAAGTTAAATAGAAAAGGAGAGAGCAACCCTGTCGAACACCACTTTCCGTGGTGAACTCGGGCGAAAAAGTGCCGCAAGCTCGCAGGGTCATAAAGGCACGCAAACCATCACACCGCGACGAGGTGCAGTCTCCCCGTGATGGGGTCTTATAATGGGATCAATGCGAACGACTAAAATTCTAACGGAAAGGGAATAGTGCGTGGGACAAAAAAGATCTCAACCGTTGGCTACCAGAGGCGAAGAGACGACCATCCAATTAAAAAACTTGTTCACAATTGGATGAGAACAACCAGCACACTTACCCCACAATGGATGCCAACTTGGGTCCAGTCAGAAGGAATAGCATAGAATCGACACTGAAATCATGCGTGAGCACGATTTGATCCCGGCGATGCAGAGGAAATACGGCCAGGCGAAGAGTGGAAAGATATTCGTCCGATGTGTCCACACTGACAGTGAGCTGAAATGAGTGCACGGATCACAAACAGGATGGGAGGGAATGAGACAAATACGAAAGCGTGGCAAAAAGCATTTCCGGGATAGGCAGTACGAGGTGCCGATGTGACCGGGCAAGGGAAACGTGAACTGCAATCTCGTATTGTGAATCCATTGTTCAGTGATTACAGAACGAAATATCAACACAGCTCACAAGTCACACCAGGGTCGCTATACTAGGACTGTCGTAAGGAGGGAACTCAGTCAATATGAATGGAGGGTGATGATATTCTTGACTACAAATGTGTCTCAAGTGAGTAATGGATTCAATTTCAAATGGGAATTCGTCGTGTATATAGTGAACTAAGGGTAAACTGAAAAGCCAGGAAGCACCGGACAGATGTTTCGACCTGTTTGGGTTTAAGGCAGCAGCGGCAGAGTATTTATCGTTTGTAGATGACACGCCTTGAAGAATCATTTTGTTTGAGTGATTTTCGGAATTCAAGCGTGTCATGCGGTCCCTAGATGATGGGACACAGTGTGGTCGACCTGTAGAGGCCACCTCACTGGAGAACACTGTTGCTATGCAGGCCATAGTGGAGGAGGATATGCGCACGACAGTAGCACAGCTGGCAAAAACCATCGGGATCAAACCGCGCCATCCTACAGATCTATTTTGTGTTCACAAATGTTAAGTGCATGATGCGTGGTGGAACCCAATACGAATCGCCAGCAGGTTCATTTGAGGCCTTCATTGAAATAGTCGACGGATTGTTACCCGCTTCGGCATATCTCACCAACTGGTTTGAGCCGATGGAACTGTGTGTGTGTGTGCATGTACGCTGATGGAGAATTCTTTGAGAAAATGTGATGCTTATTTTTGTGTAAGAAATAAAACTATTTGCTCAGCCCTCGTATAATTTCAACAAACAGCCACACTCGATGATTGGGATGGAATTCAGCGGTATGTGAATACATTGGGATTGTCAGACAGAGAAAACTCCATTGTGCCATTTGATGTATTTTTTTAAAAATGGGTAGGAAGGGGTTACGGCTAAATTCTAAAAAATAAAGTGTACAAATTTCTATAAGTCTCAATGTCTCAAATTTGTGAAGAAATTCTAACTGGGAATCTTGATTTAGAGGACAGAAGATTGAAAATGGCTGGCAATATAACGAACGGTATTTCTTGATTGGTTAGTCGTGAAGACCAAGGGTTAAGTGCCAAATGCCTATCTAAACTGGTTTGCAGTCGGACTGTGTCAAAACCACGTATGCACTAGTATCAGTGGTACACGGATAGCATGACAACTAGTACCCACAATCGATGAATTGCTAATTTAGTTCAGCTGAACTATTCATGATGTGGAACGCTTCGAAAAAGAGGACGATGTGTCCTATCAAGTATGAGAAATTATCAAATCGTTTGGGAATACTCTTCAATTTCAATTTTCGGTGACTTTCGTATCGAACAGATCTCAGTACAGAACAGGATTGGCACTGTTCGATTTTATCAACAACAACAAAAATATTCGAGAAGTAGTGTCAAGCACTGAGAAGCAGATCGTTCGGTTAACAATGTGAAAAACATGTGGGAAAAATGTTATACTATATATTATATGTATATCTGATATTATATCATTATATATGAATAGCAACGGAAAATTCAACTATTTTCATTTGTGACGACGGCGACTGCACTCCATGAGGGGACATTCAATACATTTTACTACGCCTGAGTGTGGTCTCGGATTGTGGTTGGTCAACCATCTATTAGACCTCACGAAATGTTTCCATAAGAGCAAACGTCTCAAATAGCGCCTCTACGAAGGAAACCCACACAACTCACTGCCTTCTCGTGACAGAGGTGTTTTTCCATACAAAAAGAGAAGAGGAAAAGCCCACATCCGGGCTGATTGTTCACCTGGGAGAGTTGGCTAAAAACCCTGATTCTAAACCAATCAAGAAAAGGCGTATGAACAACGCACACACAGTCCTTTATTTACACGTGAAGTGTGTCTCGATTGCGTAACAAAATACGCATAAATCAGACGCCGTATCCAAATTATGCAAATAACTCTGCAGTTCAGGCGCGAACAGACAACCAATGATGAGGCAAACTCGAGAGATTAACGGAATGTGAAAAAAGACCACAGTAGAGCAATACGTGCGACGACGACGTACCGTTTGGAAGAAAAACGGACGAATAGCAAAGAAGGTCAAGCCGGCAGTGTCATATCGGGGCATTTGAATGTATTGCACAGCGGGAACCGCCCGGTCGACAACAGATTTGCGAATTTCTTCCGGATCTTTCGGAGCCACGGAACCCGAATTCACAGTCTCAGTGGTCGCACGCGCAGTGGGAACAGTTATTGCGTATACACATCCTACGGGGAGGAAATAAAAGCCGATCAATTGGGGGCAAAATCTCAAATTGACAAAAACATCGTGGACAGGGAAAAACGTTCGTCAGATAGGTGAAAATTGTTCAAAATATACTGTTTTCGGTAACCAGTCTTAGCATTGTTCGAGTTGTTGCTTTTTATTGCAATGCGATCGGAGTGGTGCAATTCGCTGGTCCAAGTTTAAGTATATTATTATTTCTTTCACACACGTCTCAATCGCCAAACTGCGTGTGTGCCAAAAAGTCATGGTACAATTATCTTTGAGAAAAAGAAAAACGTTCCATGATTTGCATGTGGGCGGCTTACTGCCGGTTTGCCTAAGTCAAGGCAGATGAATTTTCTTGAGGAATCCACAACCGGAGCCTTTGGCTAGCCAAAGCATGACCCGTAAGGCAGCGGGGTGGTGTGTGAAAACCGCAATCCATTAGGGGCTGGTGTCCAAGGTACCCAATACACCTCGATGCCCAATCGAGCCGGTGATCATTGTCACAACCAAAAAGTTGAAGAGTTCTTACCGGTAACGCTACCGAGCACGGAAGAACCATCAAGTGGGTTACTAGTATACACACATACACGCACGAACTGCATCGTAATGCAAGAATCGACTTCATCACTATTCATAATCCCTGTAGCAACACAGATCTTGTGCACCATCCACTCAGACTCAATCCACTGGCTGGTACTACAGAAACTAATCATCATCCAAGGCTACTCCAGTTCATGTGGTCTACTCTAATGGACGCTTCCTCGAAGCAGTTTTGTTGTCAGGCTCACAAGAGCCGAAACGGGATTGATGAGGGACTGACTGGTCCGACCTACTGTTAGTTTGGATGAAGCCGAGAAATCGCTGGGTAGTGGTTTAGTCACTGTCACCGGCACGCTTTAGACCCTATGGTCCGCGAGTTCGAGCCCCACCACCGCCACCCAACTATGGTGGTACGCAGCTTTGCTATCGTCCGGTTCAATGCCACGCCTTATGTGGTTCGCCACTCCAAGCCCCGTGGGGCTTAGGTTACTGGCTTCCATCAATGACCAGCAGGTTCTAATGACTATGGTGTTCACCTCGTCTGCTGTTCATCACACTAAAAAACATGTAATAAAAAATATTTCACATACATTCTTGCCACGTCGCATTCAAACGACGAATTTATCACAGAACCCAATTCAACCGTCCACTACTCTCATGCAACAAGGACGAAAGTCAAAATGAATTGGAGAGAAAACACATTGACCATTCATTGGTTGATTAGCTTAGGAGGGAAAGTACGCACAGTTTATTCGACGGTTCACAAGAGGACACCTCGAGTGAATGAAAAAAAGGAAACAGCTAGCTCATCAACTATTCACATCTCAAAAAGTCCAGTATTCTTTCTCTCTAGAAAAACTGTTTTCGCAAAGAAATTGAATCCAAATCTCTCTATTCCAGACATTCAACTTGAACGCATACAATCATCGTGAGCACCGGAGTAAAAATCCAGTTCACGATTTAAAAAATCCAAGATCATTTTTCGGTGCATTGAAAGGGCCAAATGACGTTGGAAGATTGCATCGTGAAATCGATCTACCTGATTTTTGACGAGTAGTAGTTTACTGTTCTTTTATTCAAATCAAATTTTGTTCACATTCGACAATCAGAGGAATAGATTTGCCCCCCCCCTCCGTAGATTTTTTGATTGTCTTCGATTTCACATGCAGGATCAGAATCTGGAGAGCAACCGAACGATAGGTCGAGTGTCAAAAAAAAAATTTCTCGCGACCAAAGTATTACACCCTCATAGACTTTGCCCATTGAAACCACTTTATTCATTTGTATTATATATCGAATGACGTCCGTGTCGCGTTTAGCCCCATTCCCTAGTCTACAGAGCCTCCAATTCACGTTTTGTGGTATAAAATCTGCAGAGTTGTTGGCTCGTACGGGTGAGAATAGCCTCAATTGTTTTCTGTTTGGGTCAAATGTAGACAATACACAAGCCACATCATTCGTTTTGACGACCCGCGAAATACTGAACACCAGTTTTAGAGTAGAAAGCGTGCATAAGCTCATTCAACTGTTAAGAGGAACCAGGTACTTTGGATGTTCTTGGGTTCGAGTCCTGATGCGAGGACATAAATAGTACGCGCACTGCTGATGAGTCCCAAACAGGACGAAACAACTGTTCAGTGCTCTTTGTTGGTTATCACAAACATTTCCATCGCATTTAATGAACACCAGTATTCCGTACAGGGTGAGTAATGAACTACGATGACATCATGCGGGAAAATCACTAAATTATTTGATGTATCAGTTTCAGCTTTTACAACCATTAACCATGCACTTTCATGCGCCGGTTTTGGTTGCTGTCTTTTGAGCGCCCATTTGGCTAAAAGAGAAAAATGAAGATTGGAATGTCGAAGCAAATTCAAGCGGAAGATGGGGAATTCATATAGAGTGGTGTTACGAGAATAACGAGTGGATGCATGAGCGCCACTGTTTGCGACACCCAGCCGTATCACTTAGTGTCTCCAACAATCGGTTACGATCATCCCGAGGTCCCCCGCCAGGGAGCCTAACGGGGCCTATGTGACCCAGTTTCCTGGTTAGGGTTTTCATACCCTCATGTCAGGTCTTAGTTTGACCACCCTTTATCTTTTTCCAATCGCTACCAGCCTTGGCAAACATCGTTCGCCGCGGTAACCTATCTGGCGACATACGTAACACACGTCCTAACCAGTGTAATTTATGAAGGTCGATCACTTGCTCTAGTGGACGACCGCGAATGCCTAAAACTCCACGCCTAACCTCAGCATTGCTAGTCCGGTTACCCAAACAGACACGTGCAATGCTACGTAGACAGCGGTGTTCGAACACCGTCAATCTATTTTTATCCCGTTCCCTTAGTGGCCAAGTCTCTGCACCGTAGAGCAGGACTGGTCGAACTGCTGCAGCATACATTCCCCTTCACCGATAGCCGGATGTCGCGATGTATGCATCAGAATACTGAATTCCATACAGTACAGCGAGTTCTATTGGATCAATGCTTGATAAAGCACCCCGTACGATCACTGTGTATTTCGATCTCGCCAGACCGCTCCCCTTTGCACAGATCATATCAGTGGTAATTTACTTTACTGCGGATGGTTCCATGGAAAGGATAAGCCAACTCCAGACATGATCATAATTGTGAAGTTTCTTGGGAGTTTGGTACGAGAGACGTCCCCGGCGTCACTCGGCATTTTTTCATTTTGAGGGGGCACCTCGAGCTTTTGCACAAACAAGTGCAAACTGCAAGACAGCAGGTGATCCCACGCCTCGGAAGTGACGGGGTCAATGACTTTAGTTTTAAAAGGCCAGCCATTCACATCAATCTTTGTCACGACACCGTCATTGGGCTTATGCAGCTTTTAAACAAGAACCAGGTGACCAGCCTGAAACCCACCACACCCTGATAGTGCCGCCGCTGTTTGTTCGCGACTGCTTATTTGCTGCGGTGTACCACAACTTATTCACAGCTAACCTCTTCTTCGGTGAAGGAATCCCCCTATCCACGACCCGGGGGTGCGGCCGGTAGTATTCGGCTATGCTTAACCCGAGATTGCCGAAATGGCAGTGCCAGGTAGTAGTTTCAGGCGCAGAGTCCATCTAAGTTCAATTTCTTTTCGTCGCCAAAGTAGACGAAATTCCATTGAATTTTCCAAGTTGAATGAGTTTTAGTTGGCCTTCTCG